TTTTAACTCAGTATATCATGGGTCATGCATCAAAGGGTTAATTTAGTTTCAAGAACTTCTTTCAGCTTTTCCCCTGCAGGGGGAGTTGATCATCTCCTGCCTCCTCTTTTACACCAACTATCTGCATGTCTTCCCCTCACAAATCCCAACGAAGGTCTTCTTCTTCTACTCTTTCCTGTGAACTCCATCTCCACCATCTCTCCTCAGCTCATGTCCAAACCATCTCCACTTCTCCTCTCCAACCTTATCTCCAAATCTGCTCCACCTTAACTGATCTGCTCAATTCTAACCCCGTCCATACTGGTCAGTCCCAGTGAAGATCTCAGCATCTTCATCTCTCCTCCATCTTTAACTCAGACACAGTTTCTAAACCTTACATCATAGCAGGTCTCACTACTGTCTTCTAGATTTGCAGTTTGTTCTGTTAAAGCGCACAACTGGCAGTAAAAGGTGGGTTAAGGTTACACTTTAAAAATTAAAATGGCTATCTTGGAACTTTCCTTCAAAGTATTTGGTGTGAAAATATTCTGCGCAAGGACGCCACACACTGGTTAGTGTAAAAAAAAATTGAAAATGTTTATTTTAAACCACGTAAACAAACGGATACATATGTCAAAACACAATTAAAAAATTCCATTAATTCATCTGTGTGACCCACAGCCTGCGACCACATCCTGTAACATTATCACATTTCAAAGTCCATGTAGAAAATGTTTGCGACCCCCAGTGGTTGAATTGACTCACTGCAGCCTCCGACAGTAGTTCTGAATGTGTTGTCATGTCTTGAATTTAAAGTAAAATCCTTTGTTTGGATTTACCCCCGTGACACGAAATCACCACAGGGGGCAGCATCCTGGCATACCTCAGTTATCCATAAATTGCTGTTTCCATAATTAAATGTTTATGAACCAAGTTTAAAAAAGTGACTCAAAATGACCATAGGAGGCAGCAGTGGACAGGAGGTCCTACATAAACGAAATCTAAAAATGATTTTTTTTTTTTAATGGACTTTTGTGAAAGTGAGATAAGGCACAAGAAAACTTTACTTACTGTAGGTATTTCCCCAGTGACTGTATAAAACAACTGAGAGCTAGTGTACGATAAAGAGTCTCACTCAGGCCAACAGGTGGCAACGTCTACTTGTTATATACCGTCTACCGCAGGCGTGGGCTAACTTTTTGACTCGCGGGCCACAATTGTCCTAAACTTGAACGGGGGGCTGGGCTGATAAATAGATGGAGCTTTCATGTGAACTAAGATAAATGACATGTAAAAGTCATGCATATGTCATATTGCCATCTATTGGGCAAACGTTGGTATTGCAGGGTAAAGGCAGAAGTATAATGATAATATAAATACATTAGATAATTTGGAAAAGTTTGACGGGCCAGATTAAAAAGCTGAACGGGCCGCATCCGGCCCCCGGGCCTTAGTTTGCCCATGCCTGGTCTACGGTTTTCTTTGCATTCCAGATGATATGTGTATTGCCTAAGGCTGGTTTGAGTGCAGTTCTGATTTGTGTCAGTATAAAACAGTAAAAACAAACGGAACCGCTCCTTTAATAGAAGAAGGGTCCATGGATGAAGCAGGTAGGACAGGGGCGCGGACCAGAACCCACTGATAGGTCAGTGCTTCAACAGGAATGAATAAACTTGTCAGTAACAAAACACTTTTCTCCCCCCGCCACAGTCCTAAAAGTGCAACAACGCTGCGACACACCGTCACTCCGCCTTCGTCCACCTCTCAATCTCCCTCAGCCTCTTCTCCAAGATCTTCACCTTCTCCTCCAGGTGAGCCGTTTGATCCACCGCGTTCGAGGTGCCCGACGTCCCGACGCCCAACAGGACGCAGACGAACACCAACACCGCCAAGCGCACAGCCATGGCTTCGGTGCCGACGCTCTGGTCGCTCAAGATGAGTCCGAAAAAGACCAGGGCCACGCCCACTTTCAACAGCCACAGGGCCCGCCTCAGAGTAGACGCCACCAGGCTGAAAGCGAGCGAGGCGAGCCAGTAGCCGATGAGGGCCACGAGAAGCCACTGAGCCACAAAGATGAGGCCCTCGGCGGTCGCTCTGACTGGGGTGACTGTGTGGAAGAGAGCGGCGCGACGCCAAGGGGAGAAGGAAGGAAGAGAATATTTTTACTAATTAAAAATAATCTAACCACTCTCTTCCTCGCATGATGAAGGCTTATGTTGCCTCACAACCACAACCACTTGTCTGAAGAATGTAATCTTGTAGTCCCAAAACCTCGTACAAGACAATCCAGAGATTCTCGTGGGGTCGTTATACGCTAGTAGAATGAGCTACGAAGCACCACCAGAACAGGGGGCATCCCTGCCTATTTTCACGAAAAAGCTATTCAGAGTTGAACGGCGCCTCCTGTCCTTTCACTTTCACATTGCACTCCAACCCTGGTTAACAAGCATCTGCCAAATGCAGAAGAAACTTACACATACGAGGAATTTGACCCCGGCTTTCCTTAGCTTTATTGTTTAAA